TTAAACAGATAACTTTTTATTTATATAAGTCTAAAATACAAGTAAAATCATTTTATTTATTATTATATGCATTATCGTATTCGTCATCATGATCGGCTCCATAACGATCATTGTCATCTTTGCTTGAACTGATAACCTTTCTTATTTTCACCTATACGGAAGGGAGCCATTCTAAGATAAGAACCAATGCACGATACCATATTGCGGATACCGAAGTCATACAATCTTTTTACTAAAAATAAAAATAACTCAATAAACATCTTCATTCTATTCATATAAATCATTCATTTAACATTTATAAATCCATAGTTTTATAGATTATAGAAGATTGTACATTAGTACAGTGTACATTGAGTAACTATAGTAAGAATTCATAAAGAACATTTCTTTAAAACTCTGTATAATATATAACATTTATATAATAAAAACCTTATTAAAAAAACTTGTAGTTATCACAAGTTTGATAACTCCCATTATCCATTGTCTTGAGGAGCAGTAGGCACACTCAGTATCCTGTTTGATTGAAACTTTCTATTTAATTGAAAAGTTGTGGAGATACCGACAGTTTCACTACAATATAAATAAACATGTAAAAATTAAATTGTAATTCCTAAAATTCTTAAAGTTAAAAACTAATCAATAAACATTATAATTAAAATTTATATATCAAAATCATATATGTACTAACAAGCAACTCAAGCTAAAAATTAAGTATTATTTGATCAATCCATTATATTAAGTGACCGGGTCCCCGGCCTCGGCTAAAAACAGAGGTTTTTGCAAACCCAGCCCCGGCTAAACATACACAATTTGCAGGGGTTACTAGCCGGGGCTGGATTTTTGTTGTTGTTTTTGTTGCTTTTTTTTAAATTTTGTCAAGTTAAAATTTTTTGTTAAAGTTTAAGGAAATATAAGAAAAAGTCACAAAAATAATATATAACTCATAAATATTTACAATGACAAATAAGAAATAAGACACCTTATAATAGTTTAAGTTTCTTCCTCTGATTCTGATGATTCTGTGTCCCAGACATCATAGTATTTTGAACTAGGTGGTGTAAAGTCTTCAGGGGCATCACATAAATATGTTGAATAAGAAAGAGCCCTTAAATTGTATTTTAAAAAAAGAAGTGTTTCAACATTCTGTGTTGTAAGTCTGATGCGATCTTTTTGTATTAACTTTGAAACCTTGAACTCCCTCTCACTAGCTGTTGAGCTTGAGGGTGAACATAAATATACTTTTGCCAAGTTTGCTAGCTTTGGCAACTCGCTTTTCATGAGACTCCAATATAATAATGGATCTTCTGAAATATCTATTCGCTTTTTCTTATTATTCTTTACATTTAAATAACTTTTTTCTTATTATTCTTTACATTTAAATACTTGAATAGCTCAACTATGTAATTCTAATGATTAAAATTACAATTAATTACAAAGTTACTTACATTTTAAATGTAAATGCAATTTTACAATAAATTTATCTTATGAAATTTATTTTAGGATATTTTAAACAACCTGATTGTTAGCAATTTTTAAATATTTCTTCAAATTATTAACTTTGTTTAAAAAATTCAAATAATCAATTTATTACATGATGGCCACTGACTTTTCTAGAATATCCAGGTTGCTAGCTTGTTTGTTCTTTCATCCGGAAAGAACAAAGTAGATCAGATAGATATATGGTGTCTTTAAAAGATAGGAAAAAAAGCAATGATCTTAGAGATAGTATGAGAGTAATAATTATATTTATAGTGTGTATCAGAGAAGATGATAATGATGCCAATGATTAAGATGATGATGATGATCATTGTCATCATCATAATCAGAATCATCTTAATCATCATCATCAACTGTATGCTTGATGATGATGATGATGATGATGATGATGATGATGATGATGATTATGATGATGATGATGATGATGATGATGATGATGATGATGATGATGATGATGAAGATAATGACGATGATGATGATGACAATGAGATGATATATATACCTTTATATAAAATATATCATGAATTTTAAATAAAAGTAATATATTTATAAGGAATATCAATATTAATGCAGCCCCGGTCACAAACCCGGCCCCGGCTATGTTTTAATAAAACCGGCCCTGGCCCCGGTCAAATATCAACCTCGGTCGCTTACTAATCCATTAGTTTGTTCTTTGATATAGTAGTTATGTGAATAATGGTATTTTAGAACCCAATTTTTGAGCTAACAGAAAAGGAGACTTTGCAAGTACTGATGGGTTAGCTACAATGTAAATAACTATATAGATATATTATTTTTACAAAGTTATTTTAAATAAAAATTTACTAAAGCATTGTAAATTTGATTTTAAAAACTCTATCCTAAAAGGATTACATTGCTAAATACGTTTATCAGTCATAAAATTAGCAGGTTTATCTAAAAGTAAAGGAGTTTTATATAAAAGATATAAATTTAGACATCTTACTTGATTGGTCCATTCTAGAGTCTTTTGGTAAAGTAGTCACACTTAATTTCAATAAAGATATCTTAGAATGTGATTGAATGCTTGAGACAAGGTGGCTGTGGAAGTGGTAATGGTTTAACTAAAATGTAAATCCAAGTGTATATTGTCTGAGATATGTTCATTACAACTATTATTAGTCTTCAAAGATAAAAATAGGACAACTTACTTGCATAATCTTAACTTAATGCATGCAAGTATTTCTAGCACTAAGGTCTTCACTCTAATTCATGTTTATTGTAACATCAAATTAGCTAACCTATCAATATTCGTACCTTTCGCATTAACTTTTTTACTTTACCGTAAAAATGATTAATCATTTACTAATTAAAACTTGCTTCTTTTTTTTTTTACATAAAAATTAGAACAAACTAAATAAAACTATTATTTTTAAATTTATAATATATATATATATATATATATATATATATATATATATATATATATATATATATATATATATATATATAATATTATTTGCTTTAACAAGCGATTTATTCAATTTTTAGTGCAACTTTTCCATAATTAACCATTTGTACTGTAATTGCATTAAACTAGTAATATTAACTCCAAAGAAATTGAAATAAAAACTAATTTAGATTGAGTAACGCACAATTATGGATTAATTATATGTTATTATTTTCAGTTTATATATTATTAGTTTCTATATAAACATTAATAAATTAAAATGAAACCTTTAAAAGATTTGAATAATCAGTACTTTTGTTTTTTTTATTATCTGCTGATTATCAATACCTTCTTCAGTTTCTGATATTTAAAACTTTTGCAATCCTCATAACAATCTGTAAAAGGAATAACAAAACATCTTATCCAAAGCAATGAAAAATAAATTTTAAAAGTAAATTATTTAACATTTTTTGAATAAAAATTATAATATCACAATTCAATAAAATATCAAGCTTTTGGTACTTCTAATCAAACAGCCTGACGATATGACATTTTGCTAAAATGTTAACACTAATTTGGTTGAAGGTACATCAACACATAACATTAACTTGTAACTAAACTTGTTAAAAGTGTTTTAAATAAGTTTAGTCCTCTAGTTTTTTTAGCTTTTTTTGCTTACTTTAGTTTTCCTAATTCCGAGGGATAATATACATATACATACTATATATTTCGACCTGTAAAATTTTAAGCTTGGTAGGTCTTTCATAACATAATAAAATAAATAAAAAATAATGCAATAAATATTTCAATAGCTTTTAGATAAAGAGCATAAGATAAAAACAGAACAAGTTGAACTCTCTTTTAACTAATTTAAACTTTAAAGACTCGAACCAATCATCAATGTACCTTTCAAAAATAACAGGAATTACCTTTAATCTTACATTATTTTTTAAGCGTTGAATTTTTATAAATAGATTTTTATAAGTCTGAGCAATTAGATTATGATTTAAAAGGTAAATATCTGACAGATGTTCAGATTTTAGAATCATATTTAAAAGTACAGAGTTTGCAGTTTATCTTGTGATTACTAAAAAAATAACTATAAGTTTTAAAAACACTGCAGTTTTTATTTACAGAATGATCTCTACAGAAATAGCCATTAACTTAATTATTATTTTAGGATAATCTAAATTTTAAAGGAGTAAACATGTCACAAAAAATCAATTTACCACTTGCATGTGTGCTTGGCTGTTTCCTGTTGCTTTAATTATTGTTGCAATTGACTGGACTGTAGATGAAATATTAAATGATATTAAACATGCAAAACTTAATAAACAATAAAAAAAATGTTTGCGCAGATTTTTGAAACATAATATAATTATGTAATATAACTATATTATTGTTTGAACCATGTTAACTTTTCTACTAAAGAGAAAATAAATGATACAATATAATAATCTATCATATCAGAGGTAAGTAAATTTATTTTCTCTTTAGTGGTTATCATATAGGAGTATGAATAATAATTAAACTTTTAAAAGTATTTTTTTGTTTACACTAAAAGCCTACACTAAAACTAAAGATCCATTATATAAATATTTGAACCTCATATTTTTTGATTGGCACTGACTGCACTAAAAGTATAAATATTATAACATTGCGATTCGATCAATATAACATCTATCATAAACAAATAGATGTTAGGTCTTAATATAAACAAACAATAATAATTTTATTTAGTTATTTAAAAGTAGTAACCACTTATAATGCATAATTTTTCTCTAAAACTTTTAGAGAAAATTTATGCATTTTAAGTGGTAACTATTTTTCATAATTTTTCTACTTTTAATAAAAGTAGAAAAATTAGGAAGCTAAGAGTTAACTATAGACGTTCTAAAGCGTTGTTAAAAACCAAACAGAAAAAACAATTTAAGAAATATTAAAAAAAAATGCTGAAACTGATACTTTTTTGAATTTACTGCTAACTTTTTGAAACTGCTATTTTAGTAGCAATAACTAAATAAAGAATTATCAAAATACATTGTTACTGTACTTAAAATTACTTTTAATCGCTTATACAATATTATGGAAAAACTTACAGGACTTTTTAGCTGCTTCATTAACCACATTATAATACTAAAAACAAATTTATTTTTTCTCTTCTAAACTATTTATTACATAATTTAAGATTCATAAGAAATTCTAATATTTAATCATAATGAAAGATTCACATTAACCCGACGGCCATTTGACATTTAAAGACATTTAAAATACATATAGATCGTAACTTTTAAAAACAAATGCCCGTCGGGAAGTATGAATTAAGTTAGTTCCGTACGGAAATTGTTTGATTTAGCTTTTCAACGCAAATTAAATATTCAGAACACGTTTAGAACAGATTCCTAAACGTTTAGATCGACGTAAATGCCATCTAAACGTGATCTAAATCAATTTTAAACCAACAAATGCCCGTTGGGAATCATGATGATTTGACTAATCATAATGATTGACATACATGACCTATTGACATTGACCGTAATACACGATCTGTTGACATTGACCGTAAATCCTTTTTTTTTAATAATTTAACTAATTGTGTTTTTATTTTGTCGTATATTATTTTTAGATTCCACAATTTGTTTCTCAGTCAACTCACTGCACTTCCACAAGTAATAATCAGAGAATCAATGCTGGGGTTTTAAGCCATAATGAATCGGATTTAAAATTCATCCCTACCCAGTCAACGGTGAATACAAATTCAAGTGTAATTTTTAATCTAGACTTACAAATATGTAACAATAGAAATGACTTATTAACGTTAGGAACAAAAAATGACGGATTTGAATGCGAGTTGCGATAATTATTTTCATTCATCTGGTATTTTTTTCTATGTTTTTGTATGTATTTAATGCTATTTTTTTAAAAGTATTGAAACATCTATTCATAACAGTGTATCAGATAGTTTAAATAGATTTATCTGATATGGAAGCAAAGGTAATAAACGCATCTATGCTCTTGATATAAAACACTTTTTTTAAAAAAAAATTTAGTGAGAATGTTTTATGGCTCGAGTCACTTTTACCTCACATTTTATGTTAGTTGACATTAGAAGCACATGTAAATAATATGTAAAATGTAAATTTAAAATGTATTTATATAATTATTTACCTATATATTTTTGTTGTAATATTATTCATAGGGTAACAAATATAACAACTAAAATTATTTTATTAATAAACCTATTGTTATAATAATATTTTTTTCTGAATTCTATTAAATTTTTGTTTTATAATTAAATCTATCAATTTAATTGATCGATATAAATATAAAACATTGTAATTAATTTCTTTAAAAGATTTGACTTTTTTGGGACTTTAATTTAAATTAAAGTCCCAAAAAAAATACTTATCCTTAAAATTTACATAACTTTATTCAATTAAAAAAGCTTTGGACTATTTTTATTTTAAATAAACATATTAATTTAGTGCTTATAAAAAGTAAATGTTTTAGTTATATATTTTTATTTAATTTATTCATAATATGTCTTCGAATTGTTGATATTTTAAAGGTGTTTCTCTAAATTTCCTCATCTTCCGTTTTCTAAATGCCACTCGAACACTGTTTGATTTTCTGATTTTTGCATTTACTAAACGGCAGTTATTGTTTAAAAGAAAAACCAGCTTCGACCATGTATTCTTATGATATACATTTTTTAGTTCAAAATCAACGGTTTTTTTAGCTTTTATAAAAAGACAAATTTAAAGTTAAGATATTTGTTTAAGGAATATAGTTTTTTTTTTTTTTTTTTTAATTTTATTAAACACATCGAACTGTTTTTGTAAAAAGTAATTTTTTATTTTTTTATTTTAATGTTTTCTAAAAAGAAAAAAAAAAGAAAATCATTTCACTATAAATACATAAAAAGCCAATATTTAAGTATTCAATTCCAACCAAATGCTGTACTTTTGAAATTGGAATTAACGGTATTTAGGAAGTATAACGGTTGTTTAATACTATTAAATGAAATCAGCTGCGACTAGCTGTAACTTAGACTTAAAATCGATTTTGAAATTTTAAGATTTTAGACTAATTTAAGGTGGTAATTAACCAAAAATTAAAAAAAGCTCATTTTTTGCAAAAATTAAAGTTTAATAACTATATCCTTATAAAATAGTTAAAATATATATATTAGGCATTTGAAAAAACTCTTTAGGGAATAATTTGCATAAAAATTTTAAAAAATTATAGACACTTTTTGGTACTGTTGCCATGGAAATTAAAACAATAAAATGACTTTAAGAAAGGTTATCTTAATAAAAAACGTTAAGTTTCGAAATATTTTTTAACAAGAATGACAACCACATAAAATAGATTAATTTGAACGAGGGATTTTTTTTCCATGACAACTGTTGCTATGGGAACAAAGAAAAAACTGTTTTTTATAGTTACGAGTCAACAAATTCTAAAATGCTTCGTTCAAACCAATATATTTAACCTTGAAAATAATCTGAAAAAATTTCAACATGTTCTGATGAGAATAAATCAAGATATTATTTCTTAAAGGTGAAAATCAAAAACAGAGAAATTCAATTTGCAAACTTTAAATATTAATTTTACACTTTAAAAAAAGGTTTTATCAGGTTGTATGAAAGTAACACAATAAAATGTACAAAACATTTGTGTCAAATTTAAATAATGATAATCATTTGTTAATCCAACAAGTCAGTTTTTGAAAATTTTAATCTAACAAGTTTGATTCAGACTGGAATTATCCACAAATGTAATTGAAAATCCTGTATTTCCAACATTTATTCTTTTATTAATGATACTATCTGACTCTGGATAAATGATAAATCCACCTGAGGAATATGAAGGCTTTGTATCAAACTTTGTTTTTCGATTTTGTCATAACTGCTGGCGATGATTAAGTGAACTATTTCTGGGTTTTAAGACAGGTATTTTTAAGCGAAGGTTTTTTTTTTCTAAAACCTGCATTTGTATTAGCTCCAACTTGATTAACCCCCATTGAAGTAAGAATACTACTCAATTCTGCTGCTCCAGAATTCCATTGAATAATAGCTAAGGTAATGCCAACAGTCAACTTTTATTTGGGACCTTAATCCTATTTTACAATATTGACATTACGGTTGCTAAGGGCGTTGCTAAGATAAAAAAATTGACATAGGTCAAAAAAATTGCTAAATAAATGGAAAAAAATGTATAAAAATATATATAAAAGTATATATTTTTGGAAAGTACAGAAATTTTTCTTTAAAAATATACATTAAAAAAAAATACAAACTTTTCAAAAATTTCGGTTAACTACCACCTTAATTCTTACTTTACAATGCATATGTCAGGAAATTTGAAATTTATATGATACTATTTGATTATATGAAGACTATATTATTTGATAATTGCAGCAATTTGATTGCAATTATGTTCCGAAATAAAATTATTTGAATAAATTTACACTAAATTATAGATACTTTAATTTTCTCTTGAAGTAGCATTATTGAAACTCTTATCTTATAAATAATCAAGTTATAAAAATGTTTAATAACATAACTCAACTTGAAGTATTTGAAAAAATTAAATACATTATTCCATCACAACTTACGTCAAAACAAATCGTTGATTAGTATAGGGGTCGTCCATAAAGTACGTACGCTTTTTTTTTTGTCGACCCTCCCCCCATCCCCCGCAATTTGCCGTACGCTTTTTTGAGTATTCTCTACCTCCCTAAAAGTACCTACGCTTTTAACCTACTAACCCAACATTTTATGATATTTTTTTTAAATTTAGTTTCTCCATACTTTTATAATTGACCTACTGCCCCCATATCTCAGAAACGCCATTTGCAGACCTCCTCTTCCTCTCCGAGCGTACGTACTTTATGGACAATCTCATAATAGTATGCTAAATAACGAATTAAACGTATCCATCAATTTAAATGATGATTTTAGTTGTTTTAAAAAAACTCTTATCAAATTTGTATGCAAATGCCGATCAAAACTTAGCAAAAAATATTTTCGAAATAAGAGCAAATTTTTAAGTGGCGAGTCATTTTGGCTTACTAATAAAATTTTGTCTTTAATTAATCAGCAACCTAGCGAACAGTCATCACAAACCCTCAATTTAAATGTTTTTTGTTTAAATGAACAGTCATTTGGGAGACCATGTCATATATTCAAAGATACGTCTTACCGAAGTTAACGTCCGTACGCATCCATATTGTTTGTGAATAATGATCATGATTAAATCTTACAAGCAGCAGAAATAGGGTTAAAAAAGAAAAAGCGATATAGTTTGCTGTACGTATTAAAAGAATGTTTATCAAATGTAGATTCGGCAAATGAAATAAAATGTTTTATTCAGAACAAATACAAGCAAATCGTACCTAATATGCCATTAGAGCGATTAGCATTAATGACAGATATGAATTTATTGAAGACGCAATATCAAGTTATGCAAAAATAACTCAGTTAAGAGTAATGCGAATATATATCCTACATATAACAACATTCGCGACGAAAAAAAAAGTGTTTTCCTGATAATATTTGTAAAGCTGAAAATGGAATGAGAGGGAAGTTACACTGAAAGAATTGTTATACCATACAGTTCATCAAATGCTGCAACTAACTACTGTTAAAAACAGAATATCTCAACTTGATTCTCTTGAATCCTGTTTAGGAATGACTTTGTATCACAAATGGGGCTTCGATGGTGCAAGTAGCTAAAAACAGTATAAAAAAAAGTTTTCCGTCCAAATAAACAACATTGATGAATGTAATGTTTCAATCTCTGATCAAAGCTTGTTTTCTACTTGCCTAGTGCCACTTAAGTTATCGTATGGTGTTATGATAATTTTGGAAAATCAAGTGCCTTCTTCAACGCGATTTTGCCGCCCACTAAGAATTCAGTATATTGCTAAAAACCCTTTAGTTTTAAGAGAAAAAAAAAATACTTTGACAAGCAAATCAATTTGCTTGAGGAGAGTGCAATGATTATTGATGTAGAAATAAGGAACCAAATGCTGAAAAGAAGTTTGTAATTGAAGTAAGCTTCAATCTTAAGCTTACAATGGTTGATGGAAAATCAGTAAATCCAATTTGTGACAATAAATCGACTCAAATTTATAACATTTGCAAATGTACTCCTAGATCAATGAACAACTTAGATAAAGCTCTGATCCGCTTAATGGATTCGCAAAACTTGGAGTTTGGGTTATCGTCATTACATGCATGGATCCGACGTTTTGAGTGCATTCTACATATAAGTTATAGACTTGATATTAAAGAATGGCAAATACGTGGACCTGAAAATATAAAATTAGCAGCTGTAAAAAAAAAATTTGTTCAGCGTGAGTTTCCAAAAATTGGCCTTATTCATTATTCTATCTGTCATTAATTTAAATAAAAAAATTAACATAGCCAAATATAAAACATATTGTTTGGAAAGAGCAAATATTTTTGTTCGAGAGTACTCATGGTTTTACATGCCAGCCTCAGTACACAAACTACTCATTCATAGTAGTCTGACAATATCTAGATTTATGCTACCAATTGGAATGTACTATGAAAAAGCAATTTAAGCTCTGAATAAAGATAATAAAAATATTTGTTTACAACACACTCGTAAATTTGATCAAAAAGCTACAGTGAGGGACCAATTCAATTATTTAATGTTTTCGAGTGACCCAATTCTCTCATCTTTAAACTGTGAAAGATCAAAATGTAAATATAAAAAAATGAATCTAGATGGAGACGCAGTTGATCTTCTTTTTTAAGAAATTGAAAAGGAAAATACAAGTGATACAAATGACGATATTTATGCGGATGAAGAATATAATGAGTTGGATGAGGATAATGATTTTGATGATAGAAATGAGGAACTAAAACCAATAAATATAAATGAAATAAGAAATTTAAATGAGCGCAATGATATTATCGAATCATCTGAAAATGAAAACACTGATTGCCATTTTATTACTATTCTGACTTTGAAAATACTGACTAAGATTTTATTTATATTAATTTTATTATTTGATTTAAGCAAAATTATTATGTGCACTAATATGTAAAATAGGAATAAAGTTTTAACCTTGAGCTATAAAAAATAAATTCTAAGTTTTAAATTATTATTTTATATAAATATAGTTATATTTTATATAAATATAAAAATAATAATATAAAATATAGTTAGTGTAATTCACTAGAAGTTTATATGAAGGATTTTAATGACTAATGGT